TTCAGTCTTGATACAAGACCCTGTCACTTGGTCAAGTCCTGATCTGTTCACATGTACAGAAAAAATCTTTGATATCGTTGAGATCATTTCTGCATATGTAAACGCTTTAACCGTTGCCAGTGCAAGATCCACTTTTTCACTTGACAGATTTGCACTGTTTAGAACTCTATATGCTAGTATTGCATCTGGCAGTTCCATCTTGTGTTTCCTCAGGTCTTCATACAACTTAGCGAATTCAGAAATAAATGCCTGAAGATTCATACCCTCTTGACGTTCAAACTTTTCAAATCGACAATATGCTCGATATGCCATGTGAGATGATTCCTCCTGGTATATACTGTCCAGGCGTTTTATAACTTTGTCCAACCCGTCATCAGCAGTTAAGACGTCTATTCCTAACGATCTCACATGGTTCTTCACCGGTCCCTCAGACAATTCCAAAAGGAATGCAGTTGCCCGACGCTTCTTTTCGTAGGATGTGAAAGTATTCCATAGGTCAATATCCAACCGCCAGTCTTCATAATTCTGACCTTCCTTGTATGCCGGTGGGGCCTTTTGTGGTCCAACAGCTTTCCTTTCTACCACCTTATCTTCACCTGTCATTTTTGAACCGCTGCCTGCTACCAATGTTAAATCAGAGAAGCAATGACACACGTTGATAAGTCAGGAAAGAAGTCAATAGATATACAAAGACCCCACGGCTAACAGAGACATCATATATATAACATACTCCTGAAATATAGGGAGTTAACTCACATTCAAATATAGATACAAACATATAAAATATAATAGGAGAATATCAAGTTCACACGCTCAACCTGTCATTCTGCCTAATCTCTATTCATGTTAATGAACATGATAGCCTGAGGTCCCCAGGTAATAAGGTTGGCTGCAAAATATTATTGTTTTAGATTCATGAGAAACTTAAATTACTAAAAAATTGAAAAGTTCTTAATAATTGTTATTTTACGTAGTTTTTTTGAGACACATCTCTTCCACCACTGGAATTGTACTTTACTGCAAGGTTTGACAGGACCATATGAAGGTGCTAGCCCATGGAGCAGTTTTAAAGTTAACAGGAGTATTTTAAATTCTATACGTTCTTGTACCTTGAGGCAATGAAGTTCTTTTATGTAGGGATCAACTTCTTCTCTCTTCTTTAGACCTTTAACTTAACGGCATGCTCTGTTTTGCAGAGATTGTAGCTGTTTCAAACAGAATGATTAGCTCCAAAGTAAAGTGCATTACAGTAGTCAAGGGAACTGATGATAAAAGATTGCACGATGATTTATTGTGGCACAACAACTTGAAATGCACAGGTGTGTCACAAAATCACTTCAGGACACAAGAGAACCTAAAAAGCAATCCATAATTAGATGCAGTAAAAATAGCAGAATTAGATATAAATTTGGAGCCAGTTCTTTAAACTGGCTTACTTATACTACTTAAAGGGTGTTCAAGGGTTTTCTATTGAATTTATATTGAATTTTATATAGGGTAATTGTTATATTATGTGTATATTGTTTGAATAATTCCTTCTCTCTATCCATAATTAGATTCTAAACCAGGAGGTGACCGGGATTCCCGGTACCGGGAATCCCGGTACCGGGATTGGCAATTTTGAGCTATCCCGGTCCCGGTCCCAGTCCCGGTAAACCGGGTCAAGTCACATTTTTCATCCCGGTCGCGGTCGCGGTCCCGGTCAAGGCACATTTTGTATCCCGGTCCCGGTCCTGGTCCCGGTCAGGCCTAAAATCATGTCCTGGTCACCTCCTGTTCTAAACACATTTTAAAGATTAAGGAGTTACATGCACTTTTCAGTAGAAACATTTACAAATTAAAGATTGAAAGAGTCAGTAGATAATAATAATAATAATAATAAATACAACATTAATTATAAACCGCCTTATAGCTAAGATTATGTTTGCGTTTCATTGCTCAACAGCTGTTCGAAGGATCAAATTTAAGAGAAAGCCTTATAGCTAAATCATATAACTCGATATAATTTAATCCTGGAGATAAACTCCAGTGCTTTCTAAAGCGGCTCTTACATTAACTGAGCTTAGTTTAATTGAAAATTAGACATGACAAGTTCATTTTACCTATGTAAATGCAAAATCAATCAAATGCTAGAGAAAAGAAGTATGTTTTAAGTTTGGTCTTGAAAGATGTAACTGACTCAGCTGATCTTATGTCGTATGGCAAGGAATTAAATACTTTAACTGCACAGTGACTAAAAGCTTTCTCTGTGTTTACATAGTTAGGAGAGGGCGGAAAACTAAGGTAAAAATAATCATTGTCAAGACGTACATTTTTAAAACTTTGCTATAAAAAACTATTTGGGAGTATCACAAGCATGCTCGAAAAGAAACGTTTTTAGATACACTTTAAAAGAGTCCAAGGCCATGCAGTTCTTAATTTCAAGAGGCTGCTCATTCCATAATTTAGGGCCAACTTTCTGAAACGATCTCTCTCCATGATACTGTGTATGTACTCTAGGTTCAGTCAAGTGATTTCACAACAGTGATTTCTCTACGGCAGTGGCGTAACGTTGCCTGTTGGCACCCCCCCCGCCGAAAAAGCGCCCCCCTGTTGGCGCCTCCTCCCCTTTTGGTGCCCCTCCCTAAAATTGAACAAATTAGGTGATTTTAGAGGATACTCCTGTAAAATCTCTAAAAAAGTGTTTATCTAGAGCAAAACGCACAGTTTTGCTAGTACTTAGGTTAAGTTTTCGAAATTGTCCCACATTCAAACGACGATTTGGCGCCCCCCTAAGACGGCGCCCCCGTGCACAGCGGGGTCAGCGGGGCCCTTCGTTACGCCACTGCTCTACGGGGGACAGAGGTGCGAGAAAGAATTTTGTTGATATAAATAGTTTGGATTTGAATTTGGAGCCACAAGGTCAAGGTTAATATTCAAATGTTTCTCCCAATATTTGAGATAGGGAATATATATATTTTTTAATAGTAAGATTATTCAAACAATATACACATAATATAACAATTACCCTAAATAAAAATTCAATATAAATTCAATAGAAAACTAAATAAACACCCTTTAAGTAGTATAAGTAAGCCAGTTTAAAGAACTGGCTCCAAATTTATATCTAATTCTGCTATTTTTACTGCACTACGACTTTTTAACCCTCTCTCTCCTCTAAGAGCTATGACTGTTGTTCTCAAAAGGTCAAATCTTACTCTCTTCCTAATAAATGTCATTGCCTCACTATATCGTTGGCCTGATTTCCTAGAAAGTTTATCCGCTAATTTCTTGAAGAACTTATAAGCTTCCCTTCCCATACTCCCAGTGGTTGATAGGACTATCGGTGTAAACGTCCCATGTTCCACTTCTACAATCCTTTTATTGTATAAAGGGATATATATATAGGGAATATATATTGATTTTTTGAAGGCTTGTTTTTATATAGGGTCATTTTGACAATTATGTGTATATAGTTTGAACAATTTTATTATTTTAAAGTAGATAAGATGATTATAATGTTGTCACATCTGTAGAATATTGTACCTCCCAAAAAATAATTATCGTTCATGCTCAAAGAATTATAAATACTCCTACTCTTATACTTTTCCAGCTAAGTATTAAAACTCAGAATGCTTTCTGAATTTTTGACCTCAGAAGGGAGCTAGTTCCATTAAGTTCCAGTAAGGAGTTGCTGGCTCTGGATCCGGAAAAAAGGACTCCAAAGCATATTTTTCAAGATTTACACCTCTATCTCTTATTTGTATGAGGGTGTAGTCTTTTATAGTTTCTGATGGAGGGTAGTGATATCTAGGAAAAATAATGTTCCTAGCCGAATTTTAAATTTATCACCAGTCAAAGGTCAGTACTTGTTGCATGATCGATTTTTAATCACACGCCCTGAAAATTGAGTCTAAACATCTATCTCCTCTCACATTTTATGAGCAACCACCCTGAAGCTTTTAGAATATGTTCTAGCGATCATTGAGAAAAGTTTTCTGGACCAGAGTTTTGTGATCTAAGGCTAATCTCCCAATAATCCGAAAATCCCAATATTCAAATCCCAATCCCAATCACAATCACAATCACAATCATAATCCCAATCCCAATCCCAATATCACATTGTAGGGGGATTGGGAGATTGGAATATTGGGATATTGGGATATTGGATTGTGACAATGTGATATTGGGATTGTGATTGTGACAAAGACTTATCTAGTCTTTGTCACAATCACAATCCCAATATCACATTGTCACAATCCAATATCCCAATATCCCAATATTCCAATCTCCCAATCCCCCTATCCCCCTATCCCTATCCCTATCCCTATCTCTATCCCTATCAAAATCATAATCACAATCCCAATATTCCAATCCCTATCGGGCAGCTGGTCAGCCGGCACAATGTCACTCCTCTTAAACGACATTGTTAGGTAATAAACGACATTATAATCTCTTAGTGACAATATTACAAGATAAACGACATTATATTCTGTTAATGAAAATATTACAAGATAAACGACATTATATTCTGTTAATGACAATATTGCAAGATAAACGACATTATATTCTGTTAATGACAATATTAGAAGATAAACGACATTATATTCTGTTAATGACAATATTACGAGATAAACGACATTGTAATCTCTTATCAAAATGTAAACGACATTATTGCCAAAAGTGACGATATTCGTGGGAATTGCGCCGGCTGACCAGCTGCCCCTATCCCAATCCCAATCCCCCAATCCCTATCCCTATCTCTATCCCTATCCCCTAATCCATATCCCAATCACAATATCCCAATCCCAATCACAATCACAATCACAATCTCAATCTCCCAATCCCCTAATCCCCTAATCCCTATCCCTATCTCTATTCCGATTCTAATCGTCTCTTTAGAGAGAACAATAAAGTTCTACATTTTAACATTTTATTTAAATGATATGATATTCGGAGTTGAACATCTAACGGTGCCATATATCTAACAAATTAATTATACAATGTCTCTTCTTAGCAAGGTATCAGATAATGAGAGGTGGTGGTTTCCATAACAGGTACTGTTAAATAATTGAATTAATGAATATTAAAAAGATCATGACAAATTGAGTGTTCAGTATTCAAGCTGTTATAGCTGTAGATTTGTTTAAAGTTGCTAAACAAATTTTTTCTAAAAACGTTTTAGACTCGTTTAATTACACATTACTTTAAATTTGGTAAAGTGAAAGTTTTAAATATTGTGATGGAAGTAAAATACAAATTTCAGTTTGCGTGGTAAGGGTCCAAGTAGTTTAACACGACCAGTAGACAAGACCAACCAACAATCCTCCAACAACAATGAGAATGATAGAAACAACAAAAATAGGTTAGAATATACATTTCTACTTTTAAACGTTGAACATCTTATTGACTTCTAAACATTTATGCTCATTGCAGCTCAATGCCTGCTTTTGGTCTTGGTATTGAAAACTCCACCGAATAACACTTTGTGCGTATCCAAGATAAATGAAAGGTTACGTTACTGTAAAGGACTCAAAGGGTCAGAGTTTCTAAGTTGCATGTTGTTTTGACAGGATAATTAAAAGTATTGCCATTGAAAATTATTTATTGAAAGTCACTATTTCAGGTTTCCGCCTTCATCAATCTCTCCAAAGAAAGTAAGTTAACATTTTTAATTGATATAATGTTAATGGTTATTATCGTTAGTGTTTGTTTGTTTTTGTTTAAAACCGTATTCAAGTACTTTTCTTGGATGTTTAGATTAAACACTGCTGAGTATAAGTCTTATCTTAAAAATGCCCGGCAAAATTCAGAATTTGGCCGCCAAATTTTTTTAAAGGCCTAACTCAAAATTCTGTCCGAAAACTTAAGGTCGAAATGCGATTCTACGTTGATTCTGAAAATTTCATGTAAAAATATTGAAACCCTATTGAGTTCTATTGTTTTGAGCGAAGTCAGTTTTGCAAATATCGCAAACTGAGATATGGGCAATTTTGTTCATTTTTTGCGATTATTTGAACACAGAATCCACAGTTAGGTAGATACTGAGCTGATAATCATAGATAATGTGTAGTATAGACTTACCTTCCATATAAAGTTAGTTTCATTCAAAAATATTGATATTTGACCAATTTATGGGCCAAAATCGATCAAAATTGGTGCGTATGCCCAAATATGGTCATATTGTTTTTGGCTCATAACTCAGCCATTTTTGTCCAATCTTGAGCACCTAAAATCTGGGTTTAAGGCATGTTAGGGGTATTTGGCTAAATTGGGCCTAATTTGGACAAAATATGGGTGTGGCTGCCCCGCGGGCACCGTTTGGCGGTTGGGGTCCGGGACCCCCTCAAAAGTTCGGTCACTGGTCCTAGTTTGTTGATCTCGAAAACAAGTTTCACAAAAAAATCAGGGTGAACCCCCCCCCCCTTTTTTTTTTGAGAGTAAGCACTTTCGAAAAAAATATAATAAGATAATGCAGGTCAAAGATATTATTCAAATAAAGATTTCTTTTACATAAATCATGCACAATCAGCGAGAATAGATTGCTTTGGGGTCTTCCTCTTCTCCCTGGTAAGTCCAGTGTATTGATGGCAAAAATGAGGGAAGAAAACGCTGGTCCGTCAATAGGACCCCGCAAAACATGTCCTAACATTCTCCACCGACTACGGGCCACTTTTTCTGACAATGGTTCAGCATTGCAGCGTTTATACAAGTTTTTGTTGGAGATGACTCCTGGGTACTTTATATTCAAAATAGTGCGAAGATGTCTGCGGTGAACAACATCTAGTTTTTCAAGGAATATTTTGGGGACGGCCCAACAGGATGAATTGTACATAAGAACCGATACGACTAAAGCATTATACAGTATTAGACGTTTGTTTAGGGGCAGTTTATCACTCCAGGCCTTCTTGTAATTGTTAAAGGCAGCATATCCCAGGTTTATGCGACGCTGAATATCAGCTTTGCTACACAAGACGGACCCTAGAGTGATACTTTTCCTCCATGCTTCATTCCCCGACACTAATTTTCCATCACTGTCGACTTCACCCGTACTAGCTAAATAAACATGAGTGAAGTCCGTTTTGTCTTCATTGACAAAGAGGTTCCATTTCTCGAGTATAGCTGTTGCCTGGGGCAAAATAGCTCTCAAGTTGTCTTCCTCTTCATCATTGAAGTCAACATCATCAGCATATTCAGTGTCAAGTGGAAGGCCAGCAAATTTAGTAATCGGGGGGATCGGCCTATCTAAACTGATTGTTATAGTCCATCTAAGTTCATTCAAAGCACCAGCCAAGACAAGGGTGAACAGACAGCCGGATAGACAGTCACCTTGGAAAGCTCCAAGGAGACTTAAAAACTCAGCTGAAAGAACTCCATTTACCTTCACCCGTAGCTTTGTGTTGGACAACAACAACCGGACAATCCTCAGCTCATCCTCAGTACAGCCACACAGTTTCAGAAGTTCAAGAATCGTAGTGCGTTTGATCGTGTCAAACGTACTAGACATATCAATGCCCATGCGATGATACTCCCATTTCTTCCTTTGGACAACTGACAGTAGAACTCGCTGACACCAAACAATATCAGCACAAGAACGAGCGCGTTTATATGCACACTGCCATGGACCAGTGAAGGCGTTCACTTTTTCTTCTATCCTTTTAAGAGTAGCCATAGACAGAATTTTTCTGGCTGCATTGGACAAGGTGAGTGGACGTAAATTCTTCAGAGGACCAATAGGTTTTTTAGGCTTCTGTAAGGGTGTTATAGTAGCCTCTCCAATGGAAATGGGAAAAGTATGTGTCTCGAAACAACTGTTTATGATTCCAGCATAATGTTCATGGACTGTACTATTGGGGGGAATGCAACGTCAATTAATGTCAGTATTCCATAAAAACCCCAAACTGACATTGACATTAATTGACATTAATTGACATTAATTGACATTAATTGACATTAATTGACATTAATATGTCTTGAAATTTGAGATTATCATTATTCGATAAATATTCAAGATATTCAAGATATTCACGTCTATGTAAGTTAGACCGGTTCAAAAAAACAAAATGTCCTTGAATAATTATGAGTATGTTCTTATCTGTTGATCCTTAGGTTCAAAGACCACCGAAAAAAATTTCAGCTTCCAACTCTTCCACCTTCGGTCCCCACCGGCCACGCCCATATTTTATTGGTTTCTTATACTCGTAAAATATCTAGAATCGGCTTTTTTAGTATGAAGGAGTAATGTTAGCTGTTTAAGATTCAATTTTCAAGTATAAATGTCATGAAGGCATTTCGTTTAATGTGGGTTTTAAGTTCTGATGATGTTGAGAACCACGCCCTTGGATGGCCACGCCCATTTAAGAAAATTAAATTTCGGGAAACCGTATTATTTTAGTTTTATTGTTTAATGATCTGAATTTTTTTCACATTTCACATTTCCATATGTGATAGTAGTGAATAAATTGATGATATAAACGTTCTAAAGTGCTAAAAATATGGTAGAACTACATAATCTCTGGTCGAAAAATATCGTGTCAATTAATGTCAGTATTCCAAAATTTTGCAAAACTGACATTGACATTAATTGACATTAATTGACATTAATTGACATTAATTGACATTAATTGACGTTGCATTCCCCCCGTACTATTAGAGTACTTAATTAGCTCGTTGGGTATTCCATCGGGACCATTTGCCCTCCCATTTTTCAAGCTAGAGGTGGCTGCATGTATTTCAACTCCAGTAAAAGGGACATTGAGAGCACGTGGTAGACCCTCAAAAGGCTCGAGAGGTTGCTCATTGCGAGTCAGCTGTTTTTCGAGATAGTCTCTAACAACAGAAGCTTTCATGTCGTCAGATGCAATCAAACAGCCATTTTCATCATGAACACCAATCGAGTTATTAGGTGGTTTACTTTTCTGAAGATGTCTTACTGCTTCAAACATTTTCCTTGAATCGTTTGTGTTAGTAATATCACTATAGGTCTGATCAGCTTGAGCAGACCTCACTTCAACTAATCTTTTCTGGATACTATTAGTGAGGTGGTTGATGGATGACCTCAATGTAGTTCGATCAAGAGATTGATTATTGTTAAGTAGCTGTCGGAGATCGTGACGCTTTTCAACAAGCTCTTTGAGAGTGTCATCACTGCTGTGATGTTTCAAGCGAGCTTTAGGTTTTGGGCCGATGGAAACATTGGCAGCATCACGAATATGAGACATAAGATTTTGAAGGTCGGCAAAAATATATATTAAAACTTTATTAATTTTATTGAAACAAATTTATAAAACCATATTATCCTAACAACACACGAACACAGTATAATATTATGCCCTTACATGCCCTATATCTTACAATTAAGGCCAGCCCATATTACCTCTTGAAATAAAGTCCTAAAACTAATGTGGCTGTGGCAACACTAATACAGATAACACATGCAAAATGTACATACCTGAAACTCTTATCTAGTCAGCTCTCGGCCACACTAATACACATGTAAAATGTACATACCTGAAATTCTTATCTAATCGGCTCTCGGTCTAACTGAAGAAGTTGTTATCAGTTCAAAATCCCATCTACACACAAACATTAAAAAACATTGGTTTTATTCTGACAAATGTTACTATTGTCATTATGGTAACGGAAATATTTGGATCTGTCTCCCTAAGTCAAATGAAAGAAACTTAAACTTTTAAAATGTTGTCAATGACGACTTGGGGAGTATAGAAGCATAAATGGCTACTACTAAAAATTGACTCTTCGACTGAAAACTGAAACTTCTTGCTTAATCCTGGACCAGGCAAAAGTCCTGCTCACATTGGGACGTCCGCTCGGTTTCTCGATGTAATCCGACTTATATGGTCCTAAATAACACTAATTACTCGGGTACACTTTTTCACCAGTGAGCCAGTGGGGCATTTCTCGGAATCACGCCCTTTTTGATCGCACCCATATCGCGACCCCCACTATAAATTATCTCGGCTTCTGATTGAGATACAGACCTCAGGCATGAACCAAAATGTGCCTAAGATGCATGTTTATATTAGTGCTATGAAGATACTTAAGGCCTAAGAGACTTAGTTTTTGAGAAATCGCCAAAAATCCGATTTTACTATATAACAGCCTCGCAAGTAACAATTATTACACTTATTTCAAGATATCTCAGCTTCCGATTGGAGCTAAGCGCTCATCTTGGGTATCAAAATGGTCAGAATCATCATATTAAGTAGGGTAGAGCATGGTTTTAAATTCTTGAGACTTCAGGTTGTTGAGTTATTAGGTCAGATCCCATTTTTATGCTCTCGCGAGTAGCGATTGATGCACTTATTTCAAGATATCTCAGCTTCTGATTGGAGCTAAGCGTTCATCTTGGGCATTGAAATGGTCAGAAACATCACATTGAGTGGGGTAGAGCATAGTTTTAAAGTCTTAAGACTTCAGATTGTTGAGTTATTAGGTCAGATCCTATTTTTAAGCTCTCGCGAGTAGCGATTGATGCACTTATTTCAAGATATCTCAGCTTCTGATTGGAGCTAAGATTTCATCTTGGGCATTGGAATGGTCAGAATCATCACATTGAGTGGGGTAGAGCATAGTTTTACAGTCCTGAGACTTCAGGTTGTTGAGTTATTAGGTCAAATCCCATTTTTACGCTCTCGCGAGTAGCGATTTATGCACTTATTTCAAGATATCTCAGCTTCTGATTGGAGCTAAGCGTTCATCTTGGGCATTGGGATGGTCAGAATCATCACATTGAGTGGGGTAGAGCATAGTTTTAAAGTCTTGAGACTTCAGGTTGTTGAGTTATTAGGTCAGATCCCATTTTTCAGTCTCGCGAGTAGCGATTGATGCACTTAATTCAAGATATCTCAGCTTCTGATTGGAGATAAGCGTTCATCATGGGCATTAAAATAGTAAAAATTATCAGATTAAGTAGCATCGAGCATGGTTTTAAAGTCTTGAGACTTCAGGTTGTTGAGTTATTAGGTCAGATCCCATTTTTACGCTCTCGCGAGTAGTGATTGCCAAGAAATATCAATAAAATTTCACTAAAACCTCTAGCCCTAGGAACATGCATTACCCCACTTAATTTGATCATTCTGACCATTTTAATGCCCATGATAAGCGCTTAGCTTCAATCAGAAGCTGAGATATCTTGTAATAAGTGTGTCAATCGCTACTCGCGAGAGTGTAAAAATATGTTTAACCTAATAATTCAACAACCTGAAGTCTGAAGACTTTAAAACAACGCTCTACCCCACTCAATGTGATGATTCTGACCATTTTAATGCTCAAGATGAACGCTTAGCTCCAATCAGAAGCTGAGATATCTTGAAATAAGTGCATCAATCGCTACTCGCGAGAGCGTAAAAATGGGATCTGACCTAATAACTCAACAACCTGAAGTCTCAAGACTGTAAAACCATGCTCTACCCCACTCAATGTGATGATTCTGACCATTCCAATGCCCAAGATGAATGCATAGCTCCAATCAGAAGCTGAGATATCTTGAAATAAGTGCATCAATCGCTACTCGCGAGAGCGTAAAAATGGGATCTGACCTAATAACTCAACAACCTGAAGTCTCAAGACTTTAAAACTATGCTCTACCCCACTCAATGTGATGATTCTGACCATTCCAATGCCCAAGATGAACGCTTAGCTCCAATCAGAAGCTGAGATATCTTGAAATAAGTGTATCAATCGCTACTCGCGAGAGCGTAAAAATGGAATCTGACCTAATAACTCAACAATCTGAAGTCTTAAGACTTTAAAACTATGCTCTACCCCACTCAATGTGATGATTCTGACTATTTCAATGCCCAAGATGAACGCTTAGCTCCAATCAGAAGCTGAGATATCTTGAAATAAGTGTATCAATCGCTACTCGCGAGAGCGTAAAAATGGAATCTGACCTAATAACTCAACAATCTGAAGTCTTAAGACTTTAAAACTATGCTCTACCCCACTCAATGTGATGATTCTGACTATTTCAATGCCCAAGATGAACGCTTAGCTCCAATCAGAAGCTGAGATATCTTGAAATAAGTGCATCAATCGCTACTCGCGAGAGCATAAAAATGGGATCTGGCCTAATAACTCAACAACCTGAAGTCTCAAGAATTTAAAACCATGCTCTACCCCACTCAATATGATGATTCTGACCATTTTAATGCCCAAGATGAGCGCTTAGCTCCAATCAGAAGCTGAGATATCTTGAAATAAGTGTAATAATTGTTACTGCAAGACTGTTATATAGTAAAATCGGATTTTTGGCGATTTCTCAAAAACTAAGTCTCTTAGGCCTTAAGTATCTTCATAGCACTAATATAAACATGCATCTTAGGCACATATTGATTCATGCCTGAGGTCTGTATCTCAATCAGAAGCCGAGATAATTTATAGTGGGGGTCGCGATATGGGTGCGATCAAAAAGGGCGTGATTCCGAGAAATGCCCCACTGGTGAAAAAGTGTACCCGAGTAATTAGTGTTATTTAGGACCATATAAGTCGGATTACATCGAGAAACCGAGCGGACGTCCCAATGTGAGCAGGACTTTTGCCTGGTCCAGGATTAGCTGCAATGTTTACATTTCAGACCGTTTAGCATTAGGGTAAAGATATTCTTCTCTGATACACAGTTTGTTATGTAAAGTCGGTTAATTTTGGCGAAGGCTTCAGCGTCTTCAGTTTTTGCCATTTTAAAAGCCTTACCGTCTTCAGTTTTTTCCATTTTAAAAGCCTTACCGTCTTTAACTCATCGCAACCCGTCTTTAAAGTTTAAAGTAGAAGTAAGGTCAGAGTGTGAAATGTGCTTTATTACATCCGATCTATTTTGAAACCTGTTGTGGCGTCTTTAATTTTAGAAGCCTTGCCGTCTTTAATTGTTTTCATTTGAAGGCTTTGTCTTTATAAAGCGCGTCTTCATAAAACAAACTGAGCGTATCGTAACGGACGGTAAGCGAACTGATTACTTAACTGATTGCAACACTATTGTAACAGTACACTGTACAGGAGCAATGAGCCTGCAATCCGGTATACCTACATGCTTGTAGTCCATAACGAACTAGGGAGAATTCGCACTGAAATCCCTTTGTATTGTGATGTGACTGTCAGCCCCATTGCAGATTGCATGAGGTTATGTTTTCCCAGGTTTCCTTTACCAGCAATTTGGTATTCTGCAAAGCTTTGAGCAATCTCAATTTCGGCTCCGTGATTACCAATATGACGCCGTTGCCAGTATAACCTACATTGGTCGCGTTCTCCAGGCTTATCTTTTTTTACTAGCTAACAATGTAATTTGTTGTGTATAAAATTTGGTTACCATCAACGAAAAACGTGTGTTGCGCGCGCTATTCAGCGCGCGTCTTTGCTATCTTCACGCATTTCGGCAAGGGTTTCTCCCGCTGAAAATCATAGACAATTTTAATTGTTGTTTAAGACAACTTTAGTAGATTGTTAATCTACCAATATTTATCTCCTACGAACTAATATTGCAGGATCTCAGAGGTAGAGATGGTTCCAACTGGTCTTCTTTTCAGAACAGTGGAGCTTCAGCGTGCGAACAGGTTAGTCTCCACTGTCCGTCGTCTTTATTCTTGAACAAAATATCTTCACTCGCACACTAAGTCAGGATCTTCATTATTATTTATTTCTACTGCAGAGTTCTATCCATTTACCTTCTCAACGCTCAATATTGTATTGTTTACAGGCTCCTGACAGTGGTCCACGAACTGACATGGACTCTTGGGATCCTCTCAGGGATGATTTCAAGAACAATAAATTCTCAGACCGGGATTTCAAACGGGTAAGTTCAAAAGCTAACAGCCTCCAAAACTCTTGCTTATACTTACTATACTTACTATAGATGTTTGGTTTAAATGGTAAAACCATGAAATGTTGCCGTCACTGAGAGTGAAATATTAACAGTAACCTCTCACACAGGGTGGTAACAATGATCCCTCAGTGCACGTGTCCCAAATCCCCCCTCAAATAAACGAGGACGGGTTGAGGAACTTGTTTGTGGACAAGTTACCCCACTTCAAGCCTACTCGAGTGAGTGTTCCTTCTATGAAAGAGGGACACAAAACTAAGATTGGGTGAGTTTAACTGTTGCCAAAATGTTATTATTTGTACATTAAAGTGCAACAGTACAGGGGCATGCAATCCTGTATAATCAGAGACAACACAGTAGTCAATAACGAACTAACTTATAGGGTGAATTCGCAAATAACAAACAAATGTCCATTTAAATTAGGGGGTTCAAAGCTGATGCGTGGCTGATACTTGGACAGGAATTGATATCAAATAACCAAATATCATTAGAATTGTCATTAAATAACCAAATATTATTAGAATTGTCATTAAATACCTGTATACCCAGGTTTGTGCACTACCAGACACTGGATCAATGTCAGGAAGCTATCAGACTGATGAGTGGGCATCCTTTAGGTTCTTCATTCCTCCGTGTGCACCTAGGCAAGAAATTCCTGAACATGAAACAGGGAGGAGACAACTTAAGGAATGGAGGGGACAACTTAAGGAATGGAGGGGACAACTTCAGGAATGGAGGAGACAACTTCAGGAATGGGGGAGACAACTTCAGGAATGGAGGGGACAACTTCAGGAATGGAGGGGACAATTTCAGGAGCAGGGGGTCAGAGATGAGCCCAAACCGAACAAACGGCCGCAGTCCTAAAGGAAGTGTTAGCAGTGTCAGTCGGAGAGCGAGTCCTGGTATCTTCTCAACCAGAGCAGACGTCCTCAATGGAGGAAACCAGGTAAATCAGAGTTGAAAAATACCTATTTTACGAAGAAAAATAGGAAAACGTATTCTAAAGTATTTTATTTCTAAGCAAAAATACGCAAAATACGGCGTATTTAAAAATTATCTCTCTTATTTTTCAACTCTGAGGTAAATCATACCTTACAACCTGGAGCACTGTGCGAACCTTCCCCAATTTAGACTCCAGGGGTATATGCAGGCCTCTATAAAACTCATTGATCTAACCCTTCAGACGTCTGTAAAACTCAGTGAGCCAGTTGATAAAACGTTCTGTGCGAAGTGCAAGATGCCGGCCACAAATGCTTGTGGACCTTGCGAAGGTCTGACCTTTTATTGCGGATCAACATGCCAGGTAACTGAGGAATATAACCTAGCAGTAGTGCTATTTGGCTAGCTTTTGTTCATTGTATGACTATTTAAGCACGCTTCTGTCTAAATGGCGCAATTGTACTGACATGATGTCACTAATGTGATCATTTTCACACTATTGACTTATCGATTGAAAAGGTGAACTGAAATAAGTTTATTCCGAGTTCGAGGTATTACTTTGCATAACCACCGGACTACGTGATGATAATTTTATTAATTATATTAATTAATTATAATTTATTTATTAAATAAAATTTGTTGTTTACAGATGGCAGATTGGCCTGCTCACCAGTTGATATGTGTAGGAAGTATTGGGAGTAAACCCAACCAGCAACATAAGGATATTCAGCAAAACGGTCCCTCCATTCCACGTGTTAGTCCATTTAATTAATTATATTTAATTAATTATATTTAATTGAATAATATTATAATTATCCAGCTTCCAAACTTCTAAAAAGTTTCTCTTTGATTTAGATGAATTTTCAGTACGTCTTTATTTAATGATAGTAATATTTTCAGGCTCCAATTAGTCCAGAACCGATCAAGCCACTAAAAATGACGTCCTTACCGAAGGTAATGACAGCTCAGGCCTCAGAGGGGCTGGGCCTGGAAAGTGAGGCCTGGAGGGTGGGGCTGGGTCTAGAGTTTGGTGGAGGGTGGGGGGTGGGGGTGCCGGGTGGGTCTAGAGGGTGGTGGATGGTGGGAGGTGGGGGTGGATCTAGAGGGTGGTGGAGAGTGGGGGGTGGGTCTGGAGGGTGGGAGCTGTAGGGTGGGGGTGGGGGTGGGTCTGGAGGGTGGGAGCTGTAGGGTGGGGTCTAGAGGGTGGTGGAGGGTGGGGCTGGGTCTGGAGGGTGGGAGCTGTAGGGTGGGGTCTAGAGGGAAGAGTAGAGATCTCAGTTCCAGATAGTTGCAAGTGTCTTTACTGACAGAGGGAGCTGTAGGGTGGGGGGTGGGGGTGGGTCTGGAGGGTGGGAGCTGTAGGGTGGGGTCTAGAGGGTGGTGGAGGGTGGGGCTGGGTCTGGAGGGTGGGAGCTGTAGGGTGGGGTCTAGAGGGAAGAGTAGAGATCTCAGTTCCAGATAGTTGCAAGTGTCTTTACTGACCCCTCTAACTCTCCTCAGATTTCAATCCCAGATAGTTGCAAGTGTTTGTGGGTGTCGGGATGCTCCCCACTTCAGTTCCACGTGCAGCTTACAGATAACCAGGAGGTTATAGAGAACATTATAGAGACTATGTACAGTTTGTGTCCTGAACAACCCGCTCCCTCTCACTTTAAACCAGAAGGTTTACTTTCACTGTTTACTTTTTTTACATTGCTCCATCGGGTAATATATAGGATGAGGCTGTCCATTGTTCCTAAATCCCTTTTACACTCTTATCAATAGTTCAAGTTTTGGTATATTTCTTTGGTATATTTCTTTCTCCTCAAGAGAAAGTTTAGCGATCGCAACTTGTTTCCCCTCCATTAATTTTATGTTAACCTTATCTATCTCCAGTGGGTGATGTTATCTCAGCCCTGTCCCTGTCCCTGTCCCTGTCCCTGTCCCTGTCCCTGTCCCTGTCCCTGTCCCTGTCCCTGTCCCTGTCCCTGTCCCTGTCCCTGTCCCTGTCCCTGTCCCTATCCCTATCTCTATAACCTTATCTATCTCCACAGTGGGTGATGTTATCTCAGCCCTGTATAACGACGGTAACTGGTACAGAGCCGAAGTTCTGACTACTGGCGAAGATAAGATTAAAGTGAGGATGTTTGACTTCGCGACGGAGGACGAGGTCAGGGTACAGGATATAAGACCCACCGCTCACCTGGTGCACGTGATGCCCCAGGCTGTGCCGTGCCGTTTACACGACTTGCTGGTCCCAAACGAGCACTCAGAGCAGGTCCTGCAGTTCTTCTCCAGTCACCTGCAGCAGAGTGGGAGTGAGCTGAAACTTAGTAAAGTAGACGAGGTAAAGTAAAGTAAAGTAAAGTAAAGTAAAGTAAAAATTATGACATAACATCATCACACATGTCTACAAAGTATCAAATCACTATATGGAAAAATATAAATATCTGACCACCAAAATTAATAAATTATTAACTACAACTTTAGGTGGACGGGGTGTTTAGAGTTAATCTTACTCTGGTATCGGGGGAGGATCTTGGAGATTTGATGGTCGCTAATGGACATGCGTCTCGTGGTAAGGATCCCTTTTTAGTGCTAATACCTTAATAAGGTGGTATATTTTAGCTGGATAACTGATTTAGGGTCTTAGTAACAAAGAGCTATTCCCTTTTCTCCATCTAATTCTCAATTGTTGCACCTTGTTTTCCCTTCTCTCCATCTAATTCTCAATTGTTGCACCTTGTTTTCTTATGCCGATGATGATATACTATAACTAATATCACAACTCAGCAAGCGGACCCAAGAAAAACCCTTATATTAGTATAGATGACACAAGGGACCAGATTGTACTAGACAAGGCTTATCCTGCTAATGTGTCCTACATAACTAACCTTAAAGAGGTGAGTTATTTCTTTTAGAAGGGGCCGGGGGGTTCCCATTCTGAAAGATCCCAAAAGATTGAATTTTAGTATCTGTAGTTCAGTCAGTAGTCTGTAGTTCAGTCCAGTAGTCTGTACTCCAGTCAGTGCTGTACTTCAGTCGTAGTCTGTAGTTCAGTCAGTAGTCTGTATACAGTCATAGTCTGTACTTCTGTCAGTATCTGTACTTCATCAGTAGTCTGTAGTTCAGTCAGTATTCTGTAGTTCATCAGTAGTCTGTAGTTTAGTCAGTAGTCTGTAGTTCAGGTCAGTAGTCTGTACTTCAGTCAGTAGTCCTGTACTTCAGTCAGTAGTCCTGTACTTCAGTCAGTAGTCAGTACTCCAGTCAGTAGTCCTGGAGTTCAGTCAGTATCTTAACTTTCAGTCAGTAGTCTGTACTTCAGTCAGTAGTCCTGTACTTCAGTCCCAGTATCGGGTAGTTTCAGTCAGTAGTCGTACTCAGTCAGGAGTCTTAGTGTAGTCAGTAGCATGTAGTTCATCAGTAGTCTGTAGTTTCAGTCAGTATCTGTATTCATCAGTAGTCTGTAGTTCAGTCATTAGTCTGTAGTTCAGTCAGTAGTCTGTACTTCAGTCTAGTCCTGTACTTCATCCAGTAGTCTGTACTTCCAGTCTTAGTCTGTACTTCAGTCATAGCTCTGTACTTCAGTCAGTAGTTCTGTAGTTCAGTCAGTAGTCTGTACTTCAGTCAGTAGCTGTAGTTAGTCATTAGCATGTAGTTCAGTCAGTAGTCTGTAGTATCAGTCAGGTAGTCTTGTAGTTCAGTCAGTAGTCTGTATTCAGTCAGTAGTACTGTAGGTCAGTCAGTAGTCTGTCTTTCAGTCATAGTCTGTACATCAGTCAGTAGTCTGTACTTTCAGTCAGTAGTCTGTAGTTCAGTCATAGTCCTGTAGTTCAGTCAGTAGTCCTGTACTTCAGTCCAGTAGTCCTGTAACTTCAGTCAGTAGTCCTGTAGTTTCAGTCAGTAGTCTGTACTTCAGTCAGTAGTCCTGTACTTCATCAGTAGTCTGTAGTTCAGTCAGTAGTCTGTAGTTCGTCAGTATCTTAGTTAGTCGTAGTCCTTGTAGTTCAGTCATAGTCTGTACTGTCAGTCTAGTCATCTTTATATCACTTGTATTAATACTGCCGGTGTAGGAACCTTCGAGGACCTCATGCTATGGTCCATATGAATGATAATGAACAAAAATGAATATGATTATATCGTATAAAATGATAGTGAATACGAAAGTTTTAGGTTATTGATGGGATTTGCAACTACCCCGAGGCAGTAACTCTGCATTAACGCCTTAAAATGTTTAATTACAATCAAGTTTAAGATATACAGCACATAGCATAAATATAATAACACTATAAGGGAAGAAAATAGTTGTCTTATCTCTTACAATTAATTTAGAACAGTATACAGAGTCTGAAAGAATGTCACAGATATCGTATCAGGAAAAGGCAGGTGAAATTGTTGGATGGCGTGTAGCCATTGTAAAAATACCTCGAAATAGTCATATTTCGTGCTGGCGATAAAAGTTTTGTGTTTCGTTGCTGTACTTCCCGCAACTTTAACACACCTTTTATCACACTTCTAAACCTGGGAAACGTAAGCGACTGTGGAGTGTGGGTATTCTGATTACCAAATATGTCACGGTGAACATCTAACATTTGTAATAGTTTTAAGCACTATATTTAAACACCGAGAATCACTACCTGAGTAATGCCTCAGATAGACTCTTAGTAATTTTTGGCTCGTCCGATATCTGGCTGTTGAGTTACATTCAGCATCGTGTATTTTTCCTCAATTACACATGAGTAGAACTATTTGTCCGCGCCAAATTTTACGCTGAAAACAGCCGTGTTTCTGAGTGTGGATATTGATTAAATACAGAATTCATTAAAAAATTGTAATTTTTCAGAAAGAAAAAGTAGAAGCATATATTCTCGAAAAATCCATAGCCCCAAAAAGTCTAAAGATGATTCTATTTCTGATCTGGGAAAACCATTGGAAGATCTTACATACCGAGAGTAAGACGATAAACACATTTATTGTTAATTATATAATATTACTAGTGTAACCCCGCCGCCCCTACGGCCGGGATTTCACTGCCGGCCGGTTAAAAAGGGTAGGAGTAATTACCCGCTGAGTCAAAACCCGGATTAGGCGAGCAATTTACTATTCGAAGTGCCCTCACGGTATCCAATAGTATGCTTAAAAGATAGTATTCTTAATGATTAATCAATAAAATTAACCCTTAACACCATGCACCACACCAGCCTATTGCATATTGTGAACATGCATTACATTGGGCGTATAAAGTATGAACTCTCTCTAACAGTCCCAAACAGACCGTTTTGAGCACTCCCTCCCCTAATAAAGAGTTTATAGTATTATATGAGCCATGTAATATATACGCATGTAATAAATACGATACATATCAGAGAGAGAGCTAGCCCCGTAACTCTTGCCGTTTCTTCTCAAGCCATTTTATGTAACATATTTTGTGGTACAAAACCATCAATTAAACCACCTTACCACGCGGCCCGATTATTATAAAATTTGCTTATTGGGCTTCGTCCAAGTTTTGTCGGCACTATACCGAAAAAACCATCCCGTAACTATAACCGTTGTTTTTTGTATAACGTCGAATTACACACAGACACACACACAGACACACACACAGAAACACACACACATTCCGTGTTATTAAGTTGATAATACACTTGCTATGACTGACCTTTGTATCGTCCCCTCATCTGGCACAAATCCAAATATCCACTCTCTAACTACATGTTTAATGTGGATATCTGTTTTAGAAACTGTCCCCTGGTATGCTGATGCTGCGGTGTTGTTTTCTGAAAGTGGTGAGTGTTGATGTGTATGAAACCTGCCCAATGGATTGACTGGCTTATCAGAGGTAAGTAGAATATGATTTCTATGTTAATTGTATGTGTGGCACCAAATATAGCTTGAATTAGATCTGCTCAAGATAAATATTTTGATAACAAATTAAGTGCAATGTTTAAATGCATACCGAATGAAAAATGAAATGAAGAAACTAGATGTTAGAAGTAATTTTTAATCAATATTGACTTCTTGTATTGAGCCATATCTAATTATATCATAATATGCTAGGTACTGATATCAGCGAGGATTAACAGTGTTATCGAGAACAGACGCTGAAGGTGACGAGGAAGCAGAAGGTGAAGAGTTTAGTTTCCTCTGTTTAAAGTTGAAGAAGAGAAATGTACTTACAGAACGGTGGGCGTGAGAGTTCACCACACTGTTCTATACTCAAACTCAGAGATTCGATACGAAATTAATCATAAACAATTTCCTAAACACCTCTTTTGAACAACATTTATAATGTTAGCCACCTATAACATAAGTATCTCTATTCTTTAACCCATCCTGTAAGTTCCACTTAATTCAGAACTAGACCTCGAGACGTGTGTATCAGTGACAGTTCTTATCCTGCGCGGTTGTTGATGTAGTTACTGTTGACAAGACACGCAAACTCAACCTCACCACAAACCGGAAGATAGTGAACGTTTTCTGTCAAGCAACAGGATATCACAAGAATATGGTAGATATTCATTTCGATTAAAGGACTAGTGAGCCACCATAACCTTCTTCATAAGAATAGTTCTTTTTTAGTATGAAATGTTTCAATGTTGCTTTATTAGCCGGAACCTTATTTCCGGTAGGTTTTCAATCTTAAAAATACTTTAATGATTGTGCCAACTATTTTAACAAAAATACAGTTTTAGGATAATCTGATAGTTGAAGTTGTACCAATAAAAACAGGTCACAAGGAGTCATCCGAGATGTTGAAGGTACGGTACATGGTGAACGAGGAGTCAAGGGAGTAACAGCCTTCCTCAACAAGATTGCGAGTGCTCCGAAGAAGTGTGATATTGTCCGGGTGGTGGTCAAATACGGTTAACGATGGCAAACCTTATTTTAGGTAGGTGTTAATAAATTGTGCAGCCCCGGTGGATTATTAAATTGTTTTTATTTCTCTCCTCCATGAGTTTGAGATTGAATAATACAATAAAAGTTTGACTCATATCTATAATCTCTGAAAGTTCTGTGCAATTCTAAGAAGAATTACGTGAGTTATTAAAGGGTCCGTATGGGCAGTTACTTCTGGCCCTCTGTATAATTGGGTACTCTGGCAGTGTAGTCAGGGTCATACATTTATAATTAAAATATTATTTAATTTTAGCAGGTAGATACATTATTAATCATCTCTTATATTAACTGTCTAATTAACACAGGTTCTAATTAACACAGACTGTACGCGGTAGGGATGAAAGCACTTCGAGAAACAGTAACCACGTTCTCTTCTCTGACGCCAGGTCACCTTGTTAATATCACCGTAAGAAACAGAGGCTGCTAACAGGACACTGAGATGTACTTCCTTGGGGGTAACCTGGTAGGTACTCTTCCACTTAGGGAATGGTTTTGCAGGGGGGGATGCAACGTCAATTTATGTCAGTATCCATAAAAACCCCAAAACTGACATTGGATCATAATTGACATTATGACATTAATATGACTTTAATTGACATTAATTGACAATTAGTTGACATTGAATTGACATTATTCGATAAATATCAAGATATTCACGTCCTATTAAGTTAGATCGGTTCAAAAAAACAAAATGTCCTAAATAATTATGATATGTTCTTATCTGTTGATACCTTAGGTTCAAAGACCAACCAAAAAAATTTCAGCTTCCAACTCTTCCATCTTCGGTCCCCACGGCCACGCCCATATTTTTATGGTTTTCTTATCGGTAAAAATATCTAGAATCGGCTTTTTTAGTATGAAGGATAATGTTAGCTGTTGTAAATTCGTTTATTCAAAAATAAATGTCATGAAGCATTTCGTTTAATGTGGGTTTTAATCTGTGAATTGAGAACCACGCCCTTGATGGCCAAGCCCATTTAAGAAAATTAAAGTTCGGGAAACG